AAGATGCAGAAGGAACTGAGTTCTGTCGCTCATGCTACCTAGGAATTTTCCCTGGACTTTGCGTGTGACAGGGAGGTCATGGGTGGACGTATCTGGGTCTTGAGTCTTACCTGCAGCAATGCCCAGCCGTCCCTGCTGAGGGGGGAGCCGCTCCAACAGGCGAGTTTGGGCACTGTGGTCAGTCTGGGGTTTTTTGGTTTTTTTTTTTTTATTGCTTGTTTGATTTCCCTCTAGCAGGTCATGCTCACAAGTTCACGCCGGTCCCATCTCCCTCGCTGCCCAGGTAAAAGACTTGCTGTCGCACACCACAGCCCACCGAGCGCCAGGGCTCTGTCCATGTGGGAATCCTCTCTAACTGGGAGGAAACGCAGCGCCTGCGCTGGCTTTGCTGCAGTGAGGAGTCGGGGCTCGGCAGAAGCACAGACCTGAACAGGGTGCCTGGGAAGTCCCGTGGTGCAGGGGCAGCCTCAAGGACATGCACGGACGTCTGTCTGCAGCCAGATGCAACTCCTTTCTTCCCTCTGACTGTTCTCAGTGCTGGGGTTTTGCAAGCCAATCTCCTCTTTATTTCAGGATCCCCGGGCACTTTGCAAACATTCAGCCCGAGGCAGCTCTGTCAGGTTGTCCAGGGAAAGTGTGCTAATCATCCTTCAAAGTGCAGCCATGTCGGGGTAAACTGGGCCTTGCTTAACGGTGCAGCCGAGCCTGCAGTAGCTGTTTGGATCAGGAAGTGAAGAAGGATTATTGCTCATTTACATAACGATGGCACCCAAGGGTGCCAATTAGGATGAAGGTCCTATAGCGCTGGGGGTGTGCAGACGCTTAATAGGAGGCAGTTGGCTCCAAAGGGCTCCCACTGGACTTCCGAAGGAAAAACCTTCTGTATAAATAGGGAGGGAATAGGGATTTTTATTTAAATGGATTTTTTTTTTTTTGTCTCAGATTTTATATTTGTAATGAATGTTTGGGAGAAAAAATAAATTCCTGAACAGCTCTGGTACCTAAAACAGAGTGAGTCGGTGACTTGCTGTATGTGCTTTTGTAATAGAGATGTTCCCAGTCACACAGCAGAAGCATTTTGTATTTGGTAATGAATAAACCGAGGACAGAAAGGTGTGTCCAGCCTGGCAGAGCTGATTTTCTAGCTATAAGGCGAGAGGGAAGGGATGGGTCTAGTTTGGGGCAGAAGAGGTTTGGCCTACATGAGAGGTAGAGATCTCCACCTTTTGTGAGCAGTGACGAGAGTGTGCTGCTGTGTGCTTGGAAATGGGTGATTACAGAGATGGGGAAGTCAGTGTGGATGGGGTTTAAAAAAAAAAAAAACCAAAAAGAGAAAATGGGATTCTGCAGTGGTGGAGAGAGGAGAGTGGGACAACGATGGACAGAGGCGGTTGGGGTCTGCGTGGGGGACAGGAGTGGGAAAGGTTACGAACTCCTCAGCTGTACCTGCTTGTCTTTCATCCAGTGCCTCAAAATCAGAGACCTGCTTGTTGGTGAATGGAGATAAGGATCCCAGGGGTTTTCAGGGGACAGCCACCTTGGCGTAGCGGTACAGGAGAAGTGAGTTGTCTGCTGTCGCGCTCCTCTCCAGTGCTACCTGGATTTCTGTGCTGCTACAGGTCTGGATGTTCCTGTGCATGCAGAGTGCTCTCTGTCAGCAATAGGATGCTGTAGACACAGGGCTTGGAGTGCCCAAAATACAGAGGGATCCCTCACCATGTTTCCTCTCTGAAGCATCATTTCTCGGGCCATGGCGAGTCACCTGGACTGCGTTCTTCCCTTTTATCACCCGTTTTGCTACAAGTGCCAGGTGCTGGGCTAATGTTTGAGCTGTGTTGGCAAGAGGAAGGCAGGGAACAGCATGTCTCTGGCATCTTGCATGGAGGAAGGGGTTCCTTCTGGGGATTTTTTGAAGGTTCCACAAGGTGGAACAGTGCTTTTGGAGCCTAAAACCTCCAGAAATACTACCCACACATCTGAGAAATGCTGAGTTATTCTAACTGCAGGATTCATGGTATAACCTTGGTTGATTTTTTTAATTTTAATTTCTAGTCACTGAGCAGGCACTAAGCGCACGGAAGATCAGCCCAAAACTTTACCAAGCCCAGTGTCCTGTGTCCAACAGGAGCCAGCAGCTGGTGATTAAAAACCATGGGCGAGAAATAGGGTACTTGAATTGCTCTTTTCTTGCTGAAGCCACTCAGCTTCTGGTGGTCTTGTTTAGGCTGTATCGCCTTGATCCTCAGGTGAAAGGTAAAAACCATCACTGGATGGCTGTCATCAATGAAAGAGAGAAAATGATGTCATGAGGCAGCAAGGAGCTGGCTCCTCTCCATCTCTCACAGAAGGACCTTTGCATTTCTCGCAGAAGGTTCGCTGAAAGCTTTGTTCTGGACTCCTTCGTTATGGTCTTTGGGGCAGGAGGACGGCTGGCTCTAACCCCCAGCTGAGCAGCAGGGACATCCCGATGGGTCACGCTGTGCAGGTACACGCTGCAGCGGGCCTGACCTGGAGCGGCCGGGCTGCTGCTGCCATCGCATGATTCATAGCTGGAAAAAACAGGCTGGCAAAAAAACATTTGCCAGTCCCCCAAAGCCAAGCCCAGTGAGCACCACCAACATGTTCCAACGCCTGTTTGTCAAGCCAGAAATATCAGTGGAGTACGACAGTGTTTGCTGCGGTCCCTCCCAGGATGATGTGAGCCAGGAAGAGAGAAGGCAGCGCCAGAGGAAAAGGCTTGGCCGATGTGTAGTTTGTAGCACATTTTTATACGCATGCTGAGTGCCACCCTTTGCGGCTTCCCTTCCTTTTGGGTGTATTTGTTGAGGGGATTTGTGTGAGTAAGAAGCGAAGTTTCTGTTTAAGCAATAAACGGAGATGTGGTTCCTCGCCGGGCTGGCGCGTGATGCCCGCAGTACGTGCCAGGCGGAGCTGCGGTGCCCGATCAGCAGCAGAGCTCAGCCCTGCACCTCCGTCAGCTCCAGCCCTTCCCGAGAACCTTTCCTACGTGCTCCTAAACCTCTGCTTATTCCTCCAAAAGGTTTGTGGTGGGGGGGTGGGTGTGTAATCACCTCTGGGTTACGCTGCTGGGTAGGTAACAGCTCTCCAGCTTCCCAGTACCCCCACTGTGGGACGGCAGGTAGCCTGTATCTGCCTTTGCCCCCAGTTTGCCTTGGATCAGGCCTGTACCAAACTCTTGGGATAGTTCTCTTCCACCACTTTTCATCCCCCTCCTTGCTTCATCTTTATTTTGCCCTGGAATAGGAAAGAATTTAATAAATAGAAGAGAGCACCCAATTCACCTTTGAATTGCCATTAGCAGGGTAGCCGTGGTCTGAACCCGCCTCGCTCGGATACTGTAGGTAATGAAGGCACGTGGCTTCTCTGTGTGCAGGTCCAAGATGCTGTGATTGCTTTTTAACCCCAAATTGCCAGATTACAGGTCTGTCAGCTGCAGCCATGTCTCCCACCTTTAGTATGAAGATACCCAAGTATTTCCAGGCTTTTCATGGATATCGAGGGCAATGCCACCATTTTCATTTCTCTCTAAATAGCAGGGTCAATTAAATTTGCGTGGGAAGGGGGATCCGGGAAGGATAAGAAAAGAGGTGGGCTGGCTGCTGATGGTGAAAGCTGAATTAATGTTAGGGAGTGTTTGCGAAAGGCAGAGGGAGCCTTGGGGTAATAGCAGAGGGCTTGTTCACGATCTGGGTGCAGACTGGATGAGGAGTGGATGCGCAGTAGGTAGATCTTCGGCTGAGACAAGCCAGAGGAGGAGATTTTGCCAAGAAGCAATGCTATGAGCTCAGCACTCAGCATTCCTTATGGGCATGTGGCTTCGCAGCAATATTGCAGGGACAAGCCCACCAGCAGATAATAACAACCTAATTTTAGATTCACAGACTCCTGAATAGGGTTGGACATTTTTATTAATGAATAGCACAGTCACTTAAGAATCCGGGTTCAGCAAATAGTTTTGGCAAGGGAAGAATGGAGGGTTGTAAAAACTGGAAGTTGCCCTTGATTTTCTCCTCTGAAACAAGGGCTCATCCCACAGCTTACCTGAAAAACTTCAGAGAATGAAAAAAGAAGAGAAACATTTCTGATAAAAGCGTAATCAGGTGCTGAATTAACCTGGGGTCTGCTAATCTCAAAACAGGGGGTCCATTTTGAGGGGTTTTGCTTTCTTTTGTTTGTTTGTTTACAAATAAAAAAAATACATTTGCCTTGGCACAATTTGAAATGACCGAGATTTTTTTTTTTTTTTTTTTTTTTTCCCCCTGACTTGAGTTTGTGGTGGGTTTTGATTCAACTATAGCTCTAAACCATCAGTGCTCTGCAAATTCCTAATCCCAGAGCACCTCCGAGGTTGAACACCCAGGAGTTTCTCCTTGCTGCTTTGCTGTGGTCGCTTGAAGGAGGGGCCCAGCTGCCATCAGAAGCAAGAACCAGCTCTTGCTTCCGAGACAGGCACTAAGATGTCCTCTCTGCTGTATCTCGGGGGAATAACAGACATCTCTGCCAGCTGAAATTTGTCAAGAGCCCTCGTGGTGTGCTCCCACTTGACAGAAATCCCAAGGTTCACCCAAGCAGCCTCAGCTGCTCTGAGTTCTAGAGACTCCAGAAGGTCTGTCCCACCGGAGTGGCTCTGGGCACTTTTGCTAAGGTCTCCTTCTCCACTTTCCTCCCAGACCTGGAAGGATGCATCTGTAACGGCCAATCTGAAGATTTACTGGTGTGGAGAACACACCCATTTGATTTTTCCTGTCCTTGATGCCGAAGGCACATGGCATGGGGAGAAAGCACAACTCTAGTATGTGTGCCTCAGTCTCCCCATCCTCCAGGCTCTGTGGCTGTGACACTGTTGTGATGCTCTCCCTTCCGCATAACTTCAAAGTTTTTTATATCAGAACTACTAATCTGCTTTTCCCTTTTTTTATTTCTTCCAGGAACTTCTTGTCTTCAAACAGTAACCGAAGGGGAAGGCGCTTCTGAGAACCATGATGTCCCTGGGTGTCAGTAAAGGTAATTCTTTTCCCCAGCCCGAGCTGTTGAGGGTCTGCCCGCTGTCATGGCTTTCCTTTGGCTTTTTGTTCAGTTGTATCTGCTGTAAGGTCTCTGTTCAACTCCCCCAGTGCAGTGTGTCCAAGGGTAGAGGACACCTCTTCCTTGTCTGGGACCTCCTCCAACCTGCAGTTCCACAATGAGATGCGTTTGGCTATAAATTCAGTATCCACGAAGGTATGGAGAGCTGGAGAGCTTATAGCCTGGCTGAGGTTTTGAGATGAGCAACAGACTAATAAACTACCATATGATTCTATTGTCAAGACCCTCCTGAAAATTCTCTGTGTCTGGAAGGTCTACTGAAAATCCAGGAGCAATTAGCAGCCAGCACAGCAGCTGACCAGGGTGGCTTCCCCGTGTCTCTGTCTCCCCACACCCTCTTGTCGCCTCTTCTAGAGATGAAAACCAAAAGTTTGTGGGCTGCAGACCGCCCCGTGCAGTGTGCAATATCCATACAGTATTGTTAATAAACTCCTAATACTGTCTTATTATCGAAGGAGTGTAAAAAAACCCCATACTGTGGCTACAAGTTGCTCCGAGTTGTCCCAGGAGCATGCCCAAGCTGGGGAAGCAGAGTCTGAGATTTAGTTTTTAAGCACCAGGTGCTTGCAGCACCTTTAGATGTGAATAGATGGGGTGACGCTTCCAAATCCCATAGGTAACCTGGAACAGTAACGTGGCGAAGAGTGGAAATGCCTTATTCGTCTCCATTAGGCAATTGATTTTATTTTCAGTTTCAGTGCCAAGAAAAGCAGCCCTTCCCTTTCCAGGTGCTCCCCATGAAGAATGTTACTGCTGGTCCCTAAACTGCACCCTGACGTAGATGTGGCCCTGTGTAACTGTGCCCTTTAACTGCTACTGCTAATCCCACGTGAGGAAGGACGTTCTCTTCATTGCTACAGCTGTGTTTTCCTTACAGACAATCCCATGTTCTTCCTTAGAGACAATCCCATGTGACCACGTGTTTAAAAAAAATCCAAACCCCAAATCCTACCCCTAGTGTATAACGTATACTTGAAGCACATGACCGCGTGTCAGAGATTAATCAATTTACTGCGTGTCAGCTGCTCAGTGATAACTGTTTCTGGGCAGCCTTCTAGCCCATCACGAGCCCAAGACACAGAGACTTCGCTGACCCTCCTTTCCTGGTAGCTAAATTGAATTATTTCATGTTTGCCGCAGGCTAAGAGGGTGCAGCCAGGCAGTTCCCTTGGCTTGGATGATAAGAAGCTGTAAAGCTGCAATAACTCGTTGGTGTCTCTAAACCCCTGAGCTGTATTGGGCCAAGTGTGACGAGGAGAGCGGGCTTGATGTGTTCAGCCTTTACCAGTCATTTCCAAAATGGCAAAAGATGGAAGATAGTCAGAAATACACAGAAAAGGAGATTGCCTTATCTCGCCTTCATCTTACAATTTTCCTCATGGGAAAACAGCTATTTCCCTCAGAAGAAAATGCTGGATGGGGAATTTCCCAGTTAAAATGCCTTTTTTTTTTTGTTCAGTTGGTTTTTTAAATGATACCCAGCTGCAATCAGTTTGGTCCAGCAGGACTTTGGCACTCGAGGACGACTGAAGCCCTTCGCATCAGTCACCTGCACATTTCCTTCCCTTGCGAGAGGCTGTTCCCCCTTCCCCAGCCTCCCATCTCCTTCCCTCCCTGCTCCCAATACTTCTGGCTTTCATACTCTTCCCCATTGACCTCTGCTTTTGTCACCCAGTCTTTTTCCCACTGGCAGGACTTAGCGACTCCTAATCAATGACCTTCTGCAATTTCCTACATTCTACTTTTCTGTTTTCATTGCCATTGCTGACTTTCTCAGCCAGAGAACATAGTTGTGGTTCGTTGCCTAAAGAGAGAGAAGGAGCAGAATGAGGATGGTGGCAGAGTTGCTGTTGGACAGCAAAAGAGAGACCACGCAGGGTAGGACATTTTCAGATTTGGGCCAGACCCGCAGTGTTAGGGAGACATGGTTTGAGAATATGTTTTTGAAATTGAACTTCGTAATGGAAATGTGGAAATGAGGAACCAAAGGACGTGTCTCTTCCAACTCTGACAGGCCACCAGAGAGAGCTGACAGCATTTTATGGCTTACCTCTATTCCCCGAAGCCTGGCTCCGCGTCGTGCTCCAGACGTACCATCCCTTCCCACAAACCAAAAAAGCCCCACACTAGAGCTGCTGTGATGGGAGATGCCAGGGGAAACTCACTGCTTTGTAAATAGGCCATTAGAGCACCCATTGAATGTCTTTGCTCTTCCTGAGAGAAAAGAACTCGTGAATGGTGAGCAGCCCTCTGAAACTCTATAAGTCTCTAGAGGAGGTGATGCGTCGGGGTAAGCTGATCCTGAAGTTTGGACGGCAGCTTGTTTCCATCTTTCCTTAGGAATGGCAAAAGACTCCATCAGTGTTTGAACCTCTGGCTGAAAGGAGACCTGCGCTCCCTGCTGCCTGAGATTCACCCCAGCTCACCTGCTGGCACTGTGAATTCTTGCCCTTTCTCAGCAACCCTTCTCCTCTCTCCTCCCTTTCCCTCCGCCTCTCCTAGGACGTGCCATTCCATCCACTGATGAAGACCGCCGGAGGATCATTAAGCAGATGAAGGTGCGCACCACCCTGAAAGGAGATAAGAGCTGGATCCACCACCATAACTCGGACTCTGAGGATGAGAAGAAGAGCAGCCCCCTGTAAGTGTGGCCACCGAGGAGCGCTCCTCTTCTCCCTTCCCCTTCCCTCAGCAGCCTTCTGTGAGTACTCCGTTCTCCGGCCTGCAGAAGAAACGTGTGGCACTAAAATGTTTTGGGGTCCCCGTGATGCCAGGAAATGGCACTGCCACAGGGAAGCAGTGCTCCTGCTTAATTTTGATAAATGCAGGCTGGGGAGCTCTGGGAAATGGCCTTTCCTGGGAGCTGGGAACCCAGCAGCACAGGCAGATTTGAAGTCTCAGGAGAACTCCAAAGCTTTTTTAAAGCCAGATTGTGTTTCACTGTCTCCAGAGTGACAAACAAAGGGGCAGACCTTGATGAGAGGGAGCTTAAGTGATAAAGCAGCCAGGTCTACATCTCCCCCTGCAGCTCGCAGGGCTGTGTCACACCCCCGGACCAGGGAACACCACAATCTGCACCAGCTTCTCTTTAATTAGAAGCAAAACCAAGCCCAAATCAGTCTTCTCTTAGCAACTCTCTCCAAAACCATCACTGCCATGTTCAGCCGGGCAGCTCAGCAAATCAGATGTTAATTATGTCGTTGTGTTTTCTCTTTGCTTAGGTCTGGACGGGACAGCGGGGGATCCCCAGCCTCAACACCTACTGCTCCCCAGAGCGACAGGTAATTTGGGGGACCCATCCTGTTGCTTCCCTTCCGTGTTAACTCCTGGGGTCGGTGCATGCTTTAACTGGTTCTTCACAAATGTCTGCTCTTTCTTCACCTCCTCATACCCACTCACTGCTGTGATTGTGTTGGAAAATACTGTCCTTGAAGAGAGCCTGCATTGCTCAGTGTAATGTCTTGCAAACTGTCACCACGCAGAGAGCGTGGCGTATCTCCTGCAGCCTCCGGATGGATGAATGGATGGATTGATGTCTTTAATGCAGGGGAATGGATGCCTTCAAGCCCATGATCCCACAGGATTACTGGTGCACCTCAGTTCCTGTGCTGGTGCAATAACTTTCACAGAATCACAGAATGGCAAGGGTTGGAAGGGACCTCGGGAGCTCACCCAGTCCAACCCCCCTGCTAGGGCAGGCTCTCCTAGAGCATGTTACACAGGACTTCATCCAGGCGGGCTTTGAATATCTCCAGAGAAGGAGACTCCACAACCTCCCTGGGCAGCCTGTTCCAGTGCTCTGTCACCCTTAGAGTAAAGAAGTTTTTCCTCATATTCAACTGAAACCTCTTATGTTTCAGTTTGCACCCATTGCCCCCTGTCCTGTCACTGGACACCACTGCAAACAGACTGCTTCCATCCTTGTGACTTCCGCCCTTAAGATATTTGTATGTGTTGATAAGGTCCCCTCTCAGTCTTCTCTTTATGCTCTAAGCCTTGGGGGCTCCTCAGAGCAAGCATAGCCCTGCATGGGAACTGAATTTGCTTCAGGGCCAGAGCACAGGGGCTCTTCAGGAACCCAGGAACATGTAGGACTAGTGTTCTAAAATATGAAACTGTTGGAAAGGGCTTAGTCCTATGTGCGAGCTCTTTGCTAGCTGCAGTGCCATTGCTGGGAGAGCATTGCCCTCTCCCGTGAGCGCTTTCCTCTCCCTTTTTCTGTGCCAGCTCTTGTCGCTTCTTGTTGCAATTAGACAGGACAGTTTCCCTGCTGTGCCCTAACTCTTTCTGCCTCCTTCTGCAGCCTAGTGCCTTATCAGGCGCAGGATAAATAAAACTAGGGACATTTGTGACACTGGAAATGTGGCATCTGAAGGGGCATCTTCACGCAAACGTGTGAGGGCCTGAAGTTGATGGAAGGTGAGCGACAGGGAGTCCAGGACACTCAGGATCTGTTAATACTTCAAAGTGAGGAACAGGCATTCACAGGCCAAGCCGGACAACTTCTCAGCTTCCCTGCAGCTCTCCTTCAAAGCTCAGGGAACAGCTAGGCAATAGGGCTGAGATGGCCTAAACCCTGCTGCTGCCTGCTCTGAGGACACCGCAGAAACGAGAGCTTGGGGCTCCTCCAGCTCATCCCATCCGGAGAGCTCCAGAGCTAGGCTAAGCCTGCAGCGAGTTTGCATTTCTGTGTCTGTGAGTAAATGTGAGCTTGGCAGCCACTTCAAGCACATGGTGATGGGCAGTGTAAACTTCCCTGCTGAGCTGCAACCTGACAGCTGACCCTGCTTGGAGCAGGAGGTTAGACCAGGGACCTGCTGAGCTTTCCTACTGAATTATCTTATGATAATG